CTTTCGTGGAGGTCTACACTTTGTAGACTGCTAGGTAAGTCTACGGAAGGTCAGTTTTGCATTTGACCAAAACTTTGACTTCGTTGAATAGGTTTCTTTTGTATTTGACTAAAACTTACTTTACGTGTAGACTTCATATGCAGTCTACAAAACTAAGAAAATAACTTACTTTACGTGTAGACTTCATATGCAGTCTACAGAACTTAGAAAAAAAACGTAGACTGCATAAGAAGTCTACTATTTTGTTTTGGTCAATTGCAAAACTAACCTGTCGGGTTATAGTGTAGACTTTTACTGCAGTCTACAGTTACGTAGACAATTAGTTCTGTCTACTCGTAGAAAGTCAACTTTGGTCAATTGCAAAACTAACCTCTTTCAAATAAATTTAAAAGTGTAGACTGCATAATAGGTCTACTTCTAAAAGTCAAATTCTGATCGAATTCTGGTCAATTGCAAAACCAACCTTTTAAAAAATGTAGACTGAAAAGTAAGTCTACTCGTATAAAATCCTTTTTTTCAAATACAGAAAGTAACCCGTGAATTTGGCAATTGCAGAAACCAACTTAAACGTAGACCTAATTTTCAGTCTACACCCTGTAAACTGAATAAAACGTCTACCACTCTGTAGACTGAATATGTAGTCTACCTAGAAAAATCTATCAAAAGTGGATTTGTGTATTATTCATTAAGTTTTTTCAACAAAAATTTTTATGAAAGTGTGTGTTAGTTAATCATAAAGGTCTTCAATGATTTTCTTTCGATAATCTGTTATAATCATGAAGTTAACACATTTTTGGTTTGTCTATGTTGTTAGCTTAAAATTTGTAGATGTACTTGTAAGTCTACGTTAAAACTTTTTTTTATGAAAGTGTGTGTTAGTTAATCATAAGAGTCTTGAATGATTTTTAGAAGATAATCTGTTATAATTAGGAAGTTATCAAAAATTTTGTTTGTCTATATTGTTAGCTAATAATCGTAGACGTACAGGTAAGTCTACGGTATAATTTTCTCTTACAATGTTCTCGTTTGTAGAAAGCTTATAGGAGTTGTAATTTTCTGTTACAGTGAACTCGTTTGTAGAAAGCTTATAGGAGTTGTCATCATACCTCATTGTTGTTGGCCATTTGATATATATAGACATTTTTCACTATTTAAATGATATTATTCACTACATTGCAATCTTGTGTCAGTGGACGACACTAATACGTGTGTTTGAGTGCTGATTATAACTTTCCATCCAATGTGTTACCCATTATACTCACTTAGACTATAAGATAAGATATTGTTCAAGCAACAAAGTTGAATCATACCACAGAGAATTTATACAAGTGAGGCTACTGATTGAGATCAAGCAAGAGCTGTTTCAGTGCATCCGGAGACAGAGGTATGTTCAAACACTCTTNTACGTGTGTTTGAGTGCTGATTATAACTTTCCATCCAATGTGTTACCCATTATACTCACTTAGACTATAAGATAAGATATTGTTCAAGCAACAAAGTTGAATCATACCACAGAGAATTTATACAAGTGAGGCTACTGATTGAGATCAAGCAAGAGCTGTTTCAGTGCATCCGGAGACAGAGGTATGTTCAAACACTCTTGTCCATCGGAGTTTCTCTTGGTCTTAACTAGTTCGTGATCTTTAAACTCCCTGTGCTTTTTTAACTAGTTGGTGTTAGACTCTGTAAGACAATGGCTGCTGTTTTAGCGGTTTGAGCTGTGCTTCCATGTGCAAGAACCTTGTATGGTGAGGAAGACACCTTCGACCTTGTATGGTGCAAACGTTGGAACGTGGTGCCATAGCCAGTTAAACTGTTTGTGAACCATTTTCTTGTCCCACACTGCAATGAGTACATGAAACATTGTCTCAGGACTATAAACAATTTAAAAATAAAAGTTCAAATAAAAACCAAAACTGTACCATATTGTTGTAAGCAATCCTTCAACTCCAACAGGACCACGGGCATGGATCCTGCATGTGCTTATTCCCACCTCAGCACCAAGTCCAAATCGAAAACCAT